TCTATTCTATTCTATTCTATTCTATTCTATTCTATTCTATTCTATTCCATTCCATTCCATTCCATTCCTATTCCATTCTGGCTTAAGAAATGTATGTTCTTCTTTTGGTTTGGGGAGATTCCTGAGCAAATTCCCATGAAAATAAAAAAAGGTTACTAAACGCTCAGCCACATCTCTATGTGGTTGACCCTCTTCTTACTCACACTGCTGGTGTGTGGTGGTGGAGGAAGGAGGGACAGGGAAACAGCTGGCTCCCTGGCAGATGTGGTCATCCTGCAGTTGGATGTTTCCAACGGTTAGCTCAAAGAAAAAAACCACCCCTGTATATTTTTTGCTTCACCAAAGGCCTCATGTCGATCAAAGCCTAGCCAAAATATGTCCCCAAATATTTTGCTGCCTTATTTGTAATTTTTTTTTCTCGGTTTGCCAAACAGGTTGTGGGACTTCCTTTGATTTTCACAAGAAGATTGATTATCTGTTCCTAGTGGGTACCGAGGAAGGCAAAATCTACAAGGTAAGAGAAACTTCCTTGTAAAACTGGGTTGCAATTTCTGGTCACGGAGCACCGGTGGCCTCCTTCCCCATCAAGAAAAGTGTCTCAGGCATTTACTAGCCTCACCTCAATGCAGCAGGTAAATACCTCCTAACAGGTGGGAAGTGCTAGAAAAATTAGTAATGCAATGACACTAGTGGATTTCGGAAGGAGGGGTCTTAAGGCTTGTGACTGATTGATGATATCAGAGGACTGAATACAACAAGTTTGTTTTTGCCTGTTGCCTGAGAGAGAGAGAGAGAAAGAGAGAGAGAGAGGAAGGGAGGGAGAGGGAGAGAGAGAAAGAGAGGGGGAGAGCCTAGGCTGTCCGTCAGCCCTCAGATGGAGAGTCAATAGCCCCCAGGTCCAGAGGTGGCTGATGAGGAAGAGGAGGAACAGCCGGGTCCAGTGCCTGATGCACAGATGCACAGAAGGCAGAGGAGAGGAGAACAGTGGAAATCTATGGGCCGGACCTTGGGACGGAAGAGCCACCACTGTTAGTGAAGCCCCACCTGAGTTCTGGGGATAAAAGTCAGGGGGGCAGAGATGAATCGATGTGGCAGATAACTATTTATCTCCCTGCAAGGCCAAATGTTAGCATGCGAGGTAAATGTTTTTTGCTGGGGCTGCCGGCGCGCCTAATAAAGGAATCTTTTGAGTTCACGTCAGACGGTTTGTCGTGTTCAGAACAATGTTAATCTTTAATTATGGCATCCTTCTTGGGAAGATCTAATCATCACCATCTTTGATTTGGGGGAATCGTTTTGGAAATATTCTCGGATCACCGTTGCTAACTTAAGCCTTCAGCCGACTTGTGATGATTTGTGGCACCGTCAGCCAGGTGTTCCGACTGGGTTTGACATTTTTCTCTACCTATGGAGTCCTTTCAAAGGACCTGGGGAGGCAGGTGTTGTTATATAAAGGTGTTCAAGGTATTGTGATGACCCAAAAGGGGCATGGCACAAAAATAACCAAGTCACAAAAGTAGAATAAATTCCCTTTAGTGCTTCCAACTTGGCCCCCAATGTCCAATTAGCTGGAGATCAAACTCTTCCAAAAACAGTCTACCAAGGGCAGAAATGTAGCCTGAATCCAAAGTAAAGATAATTAGAAATTTAAAAAAACAACAACAACACAAACCACACTGAAGTAATTAACACGGCAGGCCAGGATGATAAAGTGCAGACTTATACCAGATAACACAGCACCCACAGTTGGTAGGACACCAAAACCCAGATAATCCTCGACAAAGAGAATGCCCGCTTTGCTTCCAGCAAGGAGCTGTGTGCAAACGCCCCACTTACATCCTGTTCTCCCAGCTGCAACTAATGAAAGGGATCAGGGCCTTTTTCTCTCCCGTAGGCCATGTTGCTCCCTTCTCCGTTCCTCCCTGTGTGCCCTAGGATGAAGACGGGGTGGTCCTCGGTCTTCCTCCGAATGCCCAACCGAACTGCGCCCTTCCCCTGTTTCTTCCACAGCCACCGGAGCCACACTCCCACTCCTTGTCAGTTACTCAGCCTCCCCCTCAGAATCAGATTCCAACAGGGGGTATGACAGGCATCATCTTAGAACGTAGGCTGTTCCTAGTGATGCTGCCATTTGCAATTTGGTCCAAGTGATTTCATTAATGGGGATGTTGTTATTGTTAAATATTTTGTGGCATCTGGTGCGAGTTATGGATTGTTCCCTCCCCTCCTCCCTCTTCCCTCCCCTCTCCTTTTTCTTGGCAAGATTTTGGGAAGTAGTCTTCCTCCTAGGTCTCAAAGTAAGTGACTGGCTTAAAGTCACCCAGTTGACCCCCCCTGCCTCACGCCTAAAACCCCACAGTCTCCCAGTTTCTAGGCTGATAGCAATATAGCAAATAAGGAGCAGTGAGGTGCCCTAGTGGTGGAGCTCTCACCTCACAATCAGGAGGCTGTGAGTTCGATCCCAGGTAAGAGGCAGATATTTCTCTCTCTGGGCACACTGAGAATATAGCTGCTGGGAAAAAAAACTCCGCATTGGTGACAGGAAGGGCATCCAGCCAGTAAGCACTCTACTAACTCCATTCAGTTGCCCAGACTCTACACCAGTGGTCCTCAACCACCGGGCCCCGGACTGGTACTGGTCCGTGGATTATTTTTTACCGGGCCGCAAAGAAGTGGGCACCGCCATCTTGTTTCGACGGCACTTGAGAAAGTGCTTCCGGGTGAGCTTGTCGGTCGTCGGTTGTTGGAAAGCGGCATTTGGGTGCTGAAGGAATCCTCGCGCCTTAGTTTCGTCGAAGAGGGGGGGGCGCCGTCCCGATGGCGGTGGAGTCTTGCGTTACTCAGGAGGAGATTAAGAAAGAGCCCGAAAAGCCCATCGACCGCGAGAAGGTACAAAGGAGGAGTTGAAGGTGGCGGGGAGAAGCGGGGGACGGCTGGCTGGCCGGTCGCTCGGCTCGCCTTGCCTTGGTCGTGCGTGCTGATGCCGGTCCCCGTTCATGGATCATTTTGTGATGCCGGTACCGGTCCGTGGGACAAAAAAAGGTTGGAGGCCACTGCTCTACACCGCAAGGGATTATGGAGTCGTTAAAAGAAGATGACGGTGATCGTGAATATAGCATTTAGACATCTATACCACTTCACGGTGCTTTACAGCCCTCTCAAAGCAGAGTCAGCATATCGCCCCCGATGAGCTGAGTCCTCCTTTTACTGACCTCTGAAGGATGGAAGGCTGAGTCAACCGGGAGCGGGTGAGAATTGAACTGCCAAACTCCAGTCAGCTGGCAGTCCACAGAAGTAGCCTGCAATGCTGCCTTTTAACCACTGCGCTACCGCGGCTCATGATGCGCTAACCAGCACACCAAACTGGTTGTCTTAAAATTATAAGGGCTATGTATTTTATTTTATTTTTAAATCCTGTGGGTTGCCACAATACAAAAAAAAGATGTTAAGATTCTGGAGTGGTGCAGAGAAGACCGATAAAGCTGATTAGGAGGCTGGAGACTCAAATGTATAAAGAATATATTTGAGTTGAATGAAAAAAAAAAAAAGAATTAGGGGTGACATGATAGCAGTCTTCCAATATTTGAGGGGCTGCCCCAAAGGAGAGGAAGGGGTCAAGCTATTCTCCAAGGCACCAGAGGGCAGGACAAGAAACAAGGGATGGAAACTAATCCAAGAGAGAAGCAACCTGGAATTAAGGAGAAACTTCCTAACAGTGAGGACAATTTAACCAGTGGAACAGCTTGCCACTAGAAGTTGTGGGTTGCTCCACCACTGGAGGTTTTTAAAAGAAGAAACTGGACAATCCTTTGCTTGAGCAGGGGGTGGACTGGATGACCTCCAAGGTCCCTTCCCACGCTGTTATTCTGTTCTGTGGGTTTTTTTAGGCTTTAGAATGGAGAAAAATCAGTCAAGATCAGTGGTGATATTCTACCAGTTCGGGTTTGAGTGAACCGGTAGTAAAAAAGTATTACCATTCAGCCCATCCAGTAATAAAAAAAAAGCCCAACTATTTCTCTCTTTCTTGCTCCCAACGATCAGTTTACTGCTTCGCCTAGGTGGCTTCCCTGAGACCCCCGAGCGCGGGGTACGTGTGTGTGTGCGCTGCAAAAAAAGCCACACCCACCCAGTCACATGGCCATGCCCACCTAGCCACGCCCACAGAACGGGTGGTAAAAATATTTGCATCCCACCCGTGGTCAAGATGTCATTTCCATATATGGTTTGTTTAAAAAAATGGGTTTGGGGTGGTTTTTTTTTTGAGATAAGTTAGAATAAAAGATCAATGGGAGGAACAAATTTAGTAACCTTATTGAGAATATAAAAGAGAACCTGTGGAATGAGGAGACATAATGAGATCAACAATGGGAGGGGGAAAAAAACTTTCAAAGTTTTTTCAAAGTTTTCAAAGTTTTTAAAATTCAAAGTACAGCTATGAAGCTATCATGATAGTCAGGGAAGGTGGAGAATGGACTCTTTTAGCAATGAAACTTACAGTGCATGATGTGGGCTTTAGGTAATGCAAAGAAGGAACAGGATTAACTCACTCAAAAGCCCTAACAAATAGAGGGAAATAGCAATAAAACTGCATGTTTTAAGGAAGATTAAGGAAATTACTGAAATCACACCTAAATTAAGATTACTCAATCCTGGAAAATATCTAACAGAACTAAATGAAGATTGAAAACTGTATAGTGATGTCCTTAAAGATAGGATTATAGAATGAGAGAAATATCTGTAGAGAGAATATATATACTGGCATGAAAGAAAAGCAAAGAAAAGCAAGAAAGCAAGAAAGCAAGAAAGCAAGAAAGCAAGAAAGCAAGAAAGAAAGAAAGAAGAAAACAGAATAACAGAGTTGGAAGGGACCTTGTAGGTCATCTAGTCCAACCCCCTGCCCAAGCAGGACACCCTACACCATTTCAGAAAAAATGAAAGAAGGAGAAAGAGAGAGAGAGAGAAAGAAAGAAAAAGAAAAAGGATGGAAGAAAAGAAAGAAAGAAAGAAAGGAAAGACAGAAAGAAGGAAGGAAGGAAGGAAAAAAAGAAAGAAAGAAAGAAAGAAAGAAAGAAAGAAAGAAAGAAAGAAGCCAGCTCTTGTCAAATAGGAAAATGCCAGATGCAGTTGAAATACAATTGAAGGAGCCATTTAAATGCTAACAACTCTATTTCAATAAATATAGAACAAGACTGTGTGGGCTGCAGAAATCTCTATGTATGGAAGGAAGGTAAATGCACAAAAATATGCAGGCCGTTGCCTGAACGGCTTACGTAAACAAAGTTTTTGCTTAAGATCTTACAAAGAAGAATAAAGCCGCACCTGGAGCTGAATATAAAAAAGCGGAATAAGCTGATTTCAGACCACGGCAATAGATTCAAGACACCTGGTGAAATGGAGAAAGCTGAAAAATTCAAGACTTCTTTCTTTCGTTCTTTCTTTCGTTCTTTCTTGATTCCTTTAAGGCCTTTGGTTGCATAAGTCGTAAAGAATACGTGAGGCGCATTCAAAAGAACATTCCAGAACCCCTGATTCTTCTTCTGAGGAATCTGAAGGAAGAACTGGAGTTGGGGAAACCAGGAAAAAGAGAGGAAGGGAGCGGGATTAAAAAAAAAATCTTTATTTTACACTGTTTCCCCCCAAAAGATGACCTACCCTGAAAGTAAGTCCTAGCTTGAATTTTTTTTAAACGTGCGCCCAAAATAAGCCCTACCCCCCCCCAAAATAAGCCCTAATTAAGATCCCTCCCAATCTACAACGGACGGGTAAAAATTAAGCTAGGGTGAGTTTGGGGTGGGTTGGAGCAGCCCTACTACTTACCTTTGGACAGGTGTAAGCCAGGCCTCGGATCCCCCGATACCTGCCTTGCTGGCTCGTTTCTTCTGCAGCCGGCAAGGCTGGCAAGGCTTTCCTGAAGGCCTCTGGAGCTGAGAACAAAGCTCTGGATCGATCCAGAGCTCTGCTATCCATCACAGAGGCCTTCGGGAAAGCCTTGCCGGCCGCAGAAGAAGTTCCTGAAGGCCTGTGACAGCGAAAAGGAGGCCGGGAGTGACGCACGCAAGTGAGCTTCGTCAGTGGATGACATCCTCCCAAAATAAGACCTGGTGCCTTTTTGGGGGGCAAAAAAATACGAGACAGGGTCTTATTTTCGTGAAAACACCCTATTTATCGATCCTTGACTTACAACAGTTCATTAGTGACCATTTGAAGTTACGATGTCACTGGAAAAGAGCACCTTATCACCGTTTTTCCACACTTACGACCGTTGCAGAATCACATGGATCACGTGATCAAAATTCAGACACTCGGTAACTGACTCACCGTTACGACGGTTGCACCGTCCCCGGGAGGGGTCATGTGGTCCCCTTTTGCAACCTTCTGACAAGCCAAGTCTACGGGGAAGCCAAATTCATGTCATGATCACGTGACTCATTTAACAACAGCAGTGATTCACTTAACAACTCTGGCAAGAAAGGTCATAAAAGGGGCAAAACTCACTTAACAAATATCTCACTTAACAACAGAAATTTGGGGCCCAATTGTGGTCTTAAGTTGAGGACTTAAGTGAGTTCTAGTCCTGCCTCAGGCATGAAAGTCACCTGAGTGACTTTGGGCCAATCACCAGGAGACTGTGAGTTCTAGTCCCACTTTACACATGAAAGCCAGATAGAATAGAATAGAATAGAATAATGAATAAGAATAGAATAGAAAATAGAATAGAATAGAATAACAGAATAGAATAGAATAAAATGAAGAATAGAATAGAACAGAATAAGGAATAGGAAAGAATAATAAATATGAATAGAATAAAATTCTTTATTGGCCAAGTGTGGTTGGACACACGAGGAATTTGTCTTTGGTGCAAATGCTCTCAGTGTACCTAAAATAAAAGATACATTCATCAAGAGTCAAGAATCTTCAGGTACAACACTTAATGATAGTCATAGGGTACAATAAGCAATCAAATCAGAG